AAGAGAGAGAGAGAGAGAGAGAGAGAGAGAGAGAGAGAGAGAGAGAGAGAGAGAGAGAGAGATGAGCGATACAAGATTGCCTGTCACGTACCTGTGAAGACCGTCGAGCAGTTCCACGAAGAAGAGGAAGGCGGCCATAGCGGCGGAGCTCCACCACAGAGTAACGAAGGAGGTGAAAGGGAGGACAAAGGGGGAGACCGAGAAGAGTGAGGGGACCATAGCGGAGGAAGAAAAAGGGAGAGCCGAAAAAAAAAAAAAAAAAAAAAAAACAACAACCGGGGTAGAAGAAGAAAGAGGTGAGGAAGGAGAAAGGAAGGAGAAGGGTGGTGAGGAATGAGAAGACGGCAGCCATAGCTGACTGGAAGAGTTGATCGGGAGAGTTGACCGAGTGTTGATCGGGTGTTGACCGGGCGTAGACCGGAGTTGACCGGGAGTTGATCGGGAGTTGACCGAGAGTTGACCGAGGGTTGACTACAGCGTTCACCAAGCGTTGACCAAGGCATGGACCCTGACTGTTGACCACAATTTTTACCAAGTTGGAGCCGGTATAATCCCGCCAAACCTTCAGGCTATCCCCTCGCCCTATGGATGTGTACACACCCTGTGGTACTTGCTGAGTCAAGTCTGTCTGTCTCTTCTTTCTGCATCGAGTCTCTTCTGTCCAGGTGATAGGACTGTGGATGAAGGATAGGGCGTTGTTGACCAAACCCACACAGGCTGAGTAGGGCTAAAGACTACGTCTGACGACTCGACTGTCCCGGAGGACAATAAACCCTCCCAAGGACCGGTACTGACTGGCGGGTTGCTCGGTGTGGCACAGTAGGCCCAAAATCCGAGTTGTGGGCTGCACAACAAGCCCGTCCAAGTCTTGAGAGGACCTGCTGATTGCGTCGTCCTGTCTGCGACGTTAAAGAATTCCTGAGGAGTTCCGGGGGATCTCCTTAAATGTGTTACGATCCTGGCCAATTTCGAAGTATACATTCAGGAGAAAGTACAATGCTGTCCAATTGCAAAAAGAAATGAATGAACTTGAGAGGAGAGAGAGGGAAAGAAGAAGAAGAAGACGTAAGAAAGAAGACTTAAGAGGAAGAAGATGATGTACTCTAGCATAGATCAATGACAAGGCTCTTCTTCTTCGCCAACCAAACTCTTCCTCCTTATTTCCTCCCCTTTTATTCAAACAAGAAATAACAATAATAGTGTTGAATGGCTTAACCAGAATCAATGTCTGAATCTCACTTCTACTGCAGGCATAACATGAGGTCCACCATAGCCATGACCACCTTTCTCCTTCCTCGTTATTGCAGGCCGAGGCTATGGCGGACTATTGAGGCTTCAGACACAGAGTCCTATCACCTGGTGGGGCAGCAACTTAGGAGGGTTTATTGTCCTCCGGGACAGTCGAGTCGACATAGGAGGGTTTATTGTCCTCTGGGAAGGTGGGGCAGCGACTGTCCCGGACTACTGAGGCTTTGGACAGGAGGGAGAACCCTCAGTGAAACCCAAAGCAGCTATGTCGCTGCCCCACTTCAAGCAGCTATGCCGCTGCTCACTGAACTGCCATGCCTGACTCTACCCCGAGCTTCCTTGGTGCGGCACTACCCCAACGGGGGCCTTCCAGATGTAGAGCCTAACAAGGTGATGCAGATGGTGTCCACCATAGCCAGGTAGGTACCTCGCCACTTTCCCCCTTGGTCCCCTTCTTCCTCCTCCTCCTACCGGTAGAGCTCCACCATAGCCAAGGTGGGAGCTCTCGACTTCTTCCTCCCAGCAGCTTTGTAGCAGCCAGCGCTCCAACAACGTGACGCCCAACTCGCACACTGAAGAATGAGGCCGAGCTCTTGCCTTGGCCTCTTGATATAGCGGCGAGCTTGCCTCCTGGGCGGTGACTTCCAGGCGCTCGGCCACCCAAGCAACTGGTACCTCCTCCCTTTCGGAGGGAAACATCATTGCAGACTCTGATATTGCCCGTACAGGCTCTAGACTTAGACTCGATGGACAGGTACCGGCCTAGACCTAGCCTATCGCTACTGGGCTTCTAAAAATGCCAACGTTGTCTTCTTCTGCTTTGCCTCGAGTACCCGGCACATCTACTGCTACTGGGTGTGGTACCGGCCTACCTGCTGCAACCCTCAATTCCGCTGCGATAAGCACCGCGGGCCCTTGGCTCCGCTACTCGAGTGTTTTCCCTTCTGCAACCCTCAATTCCACGGCCACAGGTAAGTACCGGCCCTACGGGCCTACCAAACAAGCAAGTACCCTTGCGGGACACACACACACTCATGCCAACAAGCACTCAGACAGGCATGCAAGTCAACAGTCAGGCACACATACAGGCTTAGAGAACACAGCAGAATGTGGGAATCTCAGCAAGGCATCCATCCCATCGACAAAACTTCATAAATCAGCAGTGTTCTCAGTCTGTGTTATGCCGGGTCATTACAAATGCCTCCTGATCAGCAATAGGTCTTATAGTGACAGCCATAGTTTAGGTCCAGGCTAGTGACCCTAGTTGACAGGATCCTGTTCGGATGCTGTAGTCCTTAGATCGAGTCAGTAGGTCTTGTCAGTCAAGGGGGTAGAGTCTAAGTGGTGAGGAGTGGAACCGTTGCCCGGTTGTGCACCTGACGCCATGGTTGACACACGTGGTGGGAAGAGTACTACCCCTTACACCCAGGCTCAGGAGGAGCAATTCGCCGCCATCCTGAGAGAGAGAAGGGAGAAAAAGGAGAAGAGGGAGCTCCTCAAGCAAGCGAAGCTGAAGGCGATAGCTGAGGAGCTGACGGTGAAGAAGAAGAAATTGGAGGAGGAAATGAAGAGATTACAACAAGAGGAGGAAGAAAAAAGGAGGGCTGCCAAAGAAGAAGCAGCAGCAGAGGAGGAAGAAGTAGAAGACGAACCCCTCGAAAGGAGGTGTGGGGGAGAGAGAGGAGAAACTAGTGGCACAAAGGCAGAGGACAAGTGGATGGAAAAGAAGATCAGTGAGTGGGTAGCTAATTTATCGCTGGGGGAAGATGAGGAGGCAATGTTGTTCGTGCCTCGGGAGGAAAAAGAAGCATTCGCCAGGGAGCTAGAAGCTAAGGAGGACCCCCTGGAACGCCAGATGATGGAAGACGAGAAGAGATTGGAGTGGAAGCTGCGTCTGGCAAGGGAAAGGAAGAGGAGGAGGGATGAGGCCAACCGGATGGCCAAAGAAGTGGAGAAGATTCAGGTGTGCAGGCAGGAGGTGAGGAAAACCCTGCCAAATTATATAAGATCTTGGGTTATCTTGAGATCTTGAAGTCAGGCCTGGCTTGAGCAACATCAGGCCAGTAAGGGTCATGAAGTGACCCTCCGCTCCATCCGGACCGACTTTAGAGAGTTTGCGCGCGACGTGGTAACCCACGTCGGGACAAAAGAGAAAAGGTTGAAGGAAGGCACAAAGAACTTTTGTGCCGGCGCCATTGAAGGCGCCAAGGTAGTGGCCGTAGCAGAGACCGAAACGCGACCCCTCAAAGAGCCCGTTAAGCTCAAATTTCTTGACTCATATAGCGGGAAAAAAGATGATATTTTCAGAACTGGGAGGCCAGCATCAACACATACGTGTATTTACAGCATATCGCGCCAGAGGAACAAGTCCTCGTGGCCTTCCACTCATTGAAGGACGACGAGGCTAGTTTTGTCAGGTCCCTTGTGCGCGCAACTGATTGTGAAAACAATATGGTGGCTTACTCTAGGCTCATCCCCCTTTCCACTTTCCTCAAACACCTGCGCGAGAAGTTTGCTGATGTCACAAGGGGCGTCAGGGCCTCTGACAAGCTCCAGACCATCCACTCACGATAGTGGAGGAGTGCGCGAGCTCTCAAAGCTGTCATGGACGACTTGGTAGCTGTCCCAGACCACGGGGTCACTGAGACCCAGTTGGTCCTGTTATTTTATCGTGCCATGCCAGAGCCCCTGTGAGGGCATTTCTTTGATGAGACCCAACAGGCCAACATTGCGTATGATGCGTTAAGTAGAGAAGTGGTCCTGTTTGAGGCGAAGCCCATGCCAATTTCCACTTTCTGGCATAAGGACTTAGACAAGGGAAAGAAGTGGAAAGGTCGTACCATCTCAGGTCAGGTTAGGGCCAAGGATCACATGATCCTTACTTTAGATGAAGGTGGTACTGACAAAGTCCCCTACAGTCAGATAGAGTGGGGGCTAGAGGAGGAGGACAGCGGTATGGGCCAGGGGAGGACCTATGCTACTGTCGCGGCTGGAGGGAGGCCGCAAGGTAGAGGAGGCCAAGGCCAAGGGGGCCAGGCCATGGGTGGTCGAGGTTCAGGTACACAGGGGGTTGGCGGTCAAAGGAACCGCCAAGCGGGAGGTAGGGGTCAAGGTCCCTCGCCTAATCGCTCAGGACCCAGTCGATCGCCGCAGCGCCGAGGTGGAAGGTCACCTCAAAGGCAAGGAGGTTGGCACCCAGGTTGGCCACAGGGCCGGCCTTGGGAAGATTTGGGCTTGGACCAGCGTGTGTGGCAACAGCGTATGGAGCAGGGGTAGTGCATCTACTGCAGTGACCCTGGCCATATTATTAAATGTTGTCCAAAGTATAGGGAAGCTCGATTTGCTGCCCAGGGGTCAAAAGGCAGCCGCAAGTAGGGGTCACAACTGCCCCTACCACAAGACCATGTGGGGAAGTGTGCGTGCACCACCAGGAAACTCCCACACCACATGAGCCTATGGCAGAGGTTGCAGGCCAATGCCTAGCTATCTGTCCAGAGACTGCTTGTGTTAGTGTCTCTCTAGGCACTTCCCTCACAGGCGTGGTAGAAGAGTTGAAGGAGAGGATGCCCTGGGCCAAAATGAAGAAGGATAGTAAGGGACAACTCGTTCTAGTTGATGTAGATGTCTTTAGAAGTAGAGAAGGGGCCCTTATAGACTCAGGGGCTACTCATAGTTATATTAGCCGTAGAGCGTTGTAGAAGCTGAGGCTAGGGTTGAAAGTCCAAACATTGGAAGACCCCATAGTTAGTGTCCTCGTAGACAACCGCACTATGCGTGTTGAGGACTACGTAGAGGGAGTCCCGGCGTATTGCTGTCTAGAGAAAGATGGGAAGGTCGAGAAGGTTCTCCATTCCCTGACTCTCCTCGTGCAGGATGACCTTCCTTTTGATATAGTCCTAGGCATGGACTGGGGAGAGGCAGCAGGAGGCACACTTCATTTTTGAGAGCATGAGTGTAGGCTCCCTAATCTGTCAGGCGAGGTTAACATTGCCCGCCTGTTTCATGTGTCTGGAGTAGATAACTCCTTGGCACATTGCTGTCTCAGTGCTCCCGCGTTTGCTCAATTAGTGAGAAGGAGCAGTTAGAGGAACATGTCTTCATAGCTTATGCGAGGCCTGCCACTTAGCCTAAGGAGGACACACCCATAGATACAACCATTGCCAAGTTGCTGGAAGAGTTTAAGGATTTAGCAGAGCCGCCGTCGGGAGTAGTGTCGCGGCCGATCCAACATCGTATAGAGATAGAGCCTGGCAGTAGGACTCATAAGAGCAGTCTACAGGATGTCCCCGAGGGAGTTAGAGGAGTTGCGAAAGCAATTAGACGAGCTCGTAGAAAAGGGTTGGATTAGGCCCAGTTCATCTCCTTTTGGAGCACCAGTTTTGTTTGTCCCCAAAAAGGAAGGAGAGTTACGGATGTGCATAGACTATCGGGGTCTAAATGCGATCACAGTGAAGAACGTTGAACCGCTGCCGAGGATAGACGATCTTTTAGATTGGGTGCAGGGTTGCAGATATTTTGCAAAGATCGATTTGAAGTCCGGATATCATCAGATAAAGGTCCATCCTCACGACCAATACAAGACTGCATTTCAAACTACATATGGGCACTACGAGTTCATAGTGATGCCCTTTGGACTAACCAACGCGCCCGCCACATTCCAGCGTTGTATGAATGACTTGTTTAGGCCTTGGTTAGATAGGTTTGTCGTAGTTTACTTAGACGACGTTTTAGTATTTAGTAGGACCCTCCAAGAGCATCAGGGTTATTTGAGGCAGGTCTTGGAGAAGCAAAGAGAGGCTAACTTCAAGATCAATGTGAAGAAGTGCGAGTGGGCCAAGACACAAGTCTTGTACTTGGGCCACGTCTTAGACGGAGATGACACTAAGCCTAAGGACAACAAGATAGCGGCGATTAGAGATTGGCCGACGCCCCGCACGTTGACTGAGTTGCGGTCGTTTCTAGGCCTAGCCAGCTACTATAGGAAGTTCGTGAGGAACTTTTCGACTATCGCCGCTCCCCTTCGCAGGTTGCTCAAGAAAGAGGCAATCTGGCAGTGGGATAAAGATTGTACATCTGCGCTAAAGAAGTTAAAGCGCGCCTTAATAGAGTACCCGGTCCTCAAAGTAGCAGATCCGTCCTTGCCATTTGTTGTCACCATGGACGCGAGTCAGTATGGTATAGGCGCCATGTTACAGCAGGACGACGACAATGGCTATAGACCCGTAGAGTTCATGTCAGCGAAGATGCCCTCAGAGAAGGTAGCTACCTCGACATACGAGAGAGGAGTCTACGCTCTCAGGCAGGCCTTAGAACATTGGAAGCATTACTTGCTTGGGAGGCACTTCAAAGTGTATTTAGACCAGGAGACTCTTAGGTGGCTGAAGACACGAACCAAAATGATACCTAAGTTGACTAGGTGGGCCGCTGAGATAGATCAGTACGACTTTGAGCTTGAGCCTGTCAAAGGCAAATACAATGTAGTTGCGGATGCTCTAAGTAGGAGATCAGACTACTTTGGAGCTGTAGTTCACTATTTGGATATAGGGAGTGACCTGCAGGAGAGAGTAAGACGGGCGTATGCGCAGGACCCTATTTATGGTAACCTCCTCAAGAGAGTTAAGGAGGCCCCAGAGACCGAACCAGATTAACGCACTACAGAGGGGTTGTTATTTGAGAAGACTAATGTAGTAGACCGTCTGTGCGTTCCTAACAGCGAGGAGATCCGTAGTTTGATCCTAGGGGAATGCCATGACACAGAGGGACATTTCGGTTGACAAAAGACTCTAGCCAATCTGATGCGTATGCGTACACTTGGCCAGGAATGAAAGTTGACTGCAGAGAGTATGTTCGTAGTTGCAAAGTGTGCCAGAGAAACAAAACTACTACACGTGCCCCTCTAAGTCTTCTCAGACCCTGGCCTATTCCTAATCAGCCAGGAGATTTAGTGTCCATTGACTTTATGGACGCTGGCGTGAAGAGTAGGCATGGTAAGAGCCAAGTCATGGTCATAGTTGATAGATTCAGTAAGTATGTTGTTTTTGTTCCATTACCCGCAGAAGCTCGTACAGAGCTAGTAATTTAGAAGTTCTTTTGACCATTGGGTTAGTGAACATGGGATTCCACTGTCTATAGTTAGCCATAGAGTCGGAACTGGCAGGAGCTAATGAAAGTTTATGGGTGAAAGTTGCTGATGTCATTTGGCCATCATTCAGAGACCAACAGTCAGACTGAACACATGAAAAAGATCCTGCAACAAGTTCTGCGCATGTACGTTAGACCAGATCAAGTCAATTGGGACGAGATCCCACTGCCAGATTGCCTCTTTCTTGAGCAACATGCGAAGGGGAGCGACGATAGTCGAGAAGTTCCTCACAAACTTCCTATAGCAATTAGCTACGCCAAGGAACGACCGCAACTCAATCAACGTGCGGGGCGTCGACCAATCTCTAATCGCCGCTATCTTGCTGTCCTCAGCCTTAATGCCATCTCCGTCTAGAACGTGGCCCAAGTACAAGACTTGTGTCTTGGCCCACTTGCACTTCTTCGCATTGATCTTGAAGTTAGCTACTCTCAACTTCTCCAAGACCTGCCTCAAATGACCCTGATGCTCTTGGAGGGTCCTACTGAATACTAAGATGTCGTCTAAGGAAACTACGACAAATCTATCTAACGAAGGCCTAAACAAATCGTTCATACAACATTGGAACGTGGCGGGCACGTTGGTTAGTCCAAAGGGCATTGCTATAAACTCATAGTGCCCATATCTAGTCCGAAATGCAGTCTTGTATTGGTCATCAGGATGGACCTCTATTTGATGATATCCGGACTTTAAATCGATCTTCGAAAAATATATGCAACCCTACATCTGATCTAAGAGATCGTCTATCCTGGGCAGCAGTTCAGCGTTTTTCACTATGATCGCATTTAGACCCCTATAGTCTATACACATCCGAACTCTCCTGCCTTTTTGGGGACAAACAAAACGGGTGCTCCAAAAGGAGATGAACTGGGCCTAATCCAACCCTTTTCTAGGAGTCCGTCTAATTGCTTTCGCAACTCCTCTAACTCCCTCGGGGACATCCTGTAGACTGCTCCCTTAGGAGTCCTACTGCCAGGCTCAATCTCTATATAATGCGGGATCGGCCGCGGCACTGCTCCTGACGGCGGCTCTTCAAGGTCTTTGAACTCTCCCAGCAGCTTGGCAATAGCTGGGTCTATGGGTGTGTCTTCCTTAGGCTCAGTGACAGGCCTCACATAGGCTACGAAGACCTGCTCCTCTAACTGCTCCTTGTTCTCTAAGCGCGCGAACGCAGAAGCACTGAGACAACAATGTGCCAAGAGTTATCTACTCCAAACACATCAAACACACAGGCAGTCTTAACCTCGCATGACGGACAAGGGAGCCTACACTCGTGCTCTCTCAAATGGAGTGTAGCCCTTGCTGCCTTTCCCCAGTCCATGGTTAAGACTATGTCAAAAGGAAGGTCATCCTGTACGAGGAGTGTCAGGGAATGGAGAACTTCTCCACCTTCCCATCTTTCTCTAGGCGGAAATACGCCTGGACTCCATCTACGTAGTCCTCAACACGCATAGCGCAATTGTCTGCGAGGACACTAACTATGGGGTCTTCCAACTTTTGGACTTTCAACCCTAGCCTTAGCTTCTTCAGCGCTCTACGGCTAATATAACTGCGAGTTGCCCCTGAATCTATAAGAACTCCTACTCTACTTCTAAAGACCTCTACATCGGCTAAGACTAGTTGTCCCTTACTATCCTTCTTAATTTTGGCCCAGGCAGGCATCCTCTCCTTCAACTCTTCTGCCACGCCTGTGAGGGAAGTGCCTAGAGAGACGCTATCTCTCTTGACAGCTAACTAGGCGCTGGCTTGCAACCTCTGTCGAAGGCTCATGTGGTGTGGGAGTTTCCTGTTCGCGCGCGCCCGCTTCCCCACATGGCCTTGTAGTAGGAGCAGTTGCAACCCCTACCTATGGGTGCCTTTTGACTCTTGGGCAGCCCATCGGACCTGTCTATACTTAGGAGAGTATTTAATAATATGGGCAGGGTCACCACAATATATGCACTGACCCTGGTTCATTCGCTGCTGCCATACTTGCTGGTCCAAGCCCAGATCTTCCCAAGGTCGGCCTTGTGGCCAACCTGGGTGCCAACCTCCTCTCCTATGAGGTGATCCTCCACCTCGTCGCTGGGGGGATTGATTGGGACCTTGACGATTTGACGGGGGACCTTGACCCGTACCTACCTCATGACGGTTCTTTGGACCGCCAACCCCCTGTGCACCCGGACCTCGACCACCCATGGCCCGGCCCCCTTGGCCCTGGCCTCCTCTACCTTGCGGCCTCCCTCCAGCCGCAACAGCAACATAGGTCCTCCCCTGGCCCATACCGTTGTCCTCCTCCTCTAGCCCCCACTCTATCTGACTGTGCGGGACTTCGTCAATACCACCTTCATCTAAAGTAAGGATCAGGTGATCCTTGGCCCTAACCTGAACTGAGATGGTACAACCTTTCCACTTCTTTCCCTTGTCCAAGTCCTTAAGCCAGAAAGTGGAAACTGGCATGGACTTCGCCTCAAACAGGACCACTTCTTTACTTAACGCATCATACGTAATGTTGGCCTGTTGGGTCTTATCAAAGAAATGCCCTCGCAGGGGCTCTGGCATGGCACGATAAAATAACTGGACCAACTGTCTCAGTGACCCCGTGGTCTGGGACGGCTACCAAGTCGTCCTTGACAGCTTTGAGTGCTTGCGAACTCCATTGTCGTGAGTGGATGGTCTGGAGCTTGTCAGAGGCCCTTACACCCTTTGTGACGTTTGCGAACCTCTCTCGCAGTAGTTTGAGGAAAGTGGAAAGGGGGGTGAGTCTAGAGTAGGCAAAAGTGGAAAGGGGGGTGAGTCTAGAGTTGGCAACCATATTGTTTTCACAATCAGCTGCGTGCGCAAGGGACCTGGCAAAGCTGGCCGCTTTGTCCTTCAATGCGTGGAAGGCCACGAGGACTTGTTCCTCGGGTGACATGCTGTAGATACACATATGTGTTAATGCTGGCCTCCCTGTTATCGAAACTATCATCCTTATCCCGCTATACGAGTCAGGAAATTTAAGCTTGACGAGCGCTTTGCGGGGGCGCACTTTAACTTCGGCCACTACTTTTGCGCCTTCAATGGCGCCTGCGCATAACTTCTCTGCGCCTTCCTTCAATCTCTTGATCTCGGTCCCGACGTGGGTCAACACGTCGCGCGCAAACTCTCTAAAGCCACGCCGGATGGCATGAAGGGTCACCTCTTGACCCTTATTGGCCTGATGCTGTTCAAGCGAGGCCTGACTCAAGACTTCCAGATAACCCAATATCTTATCTAATTTGGCAGGGGTTTCCTCTTGCGCTTGCACTTCCTGTCTACACGCCTGAATCTTCTCCACTTCTTTGGCCATCCGGTTGGCCTCCTCCTTCTTCTCTTCTTCTCTCTGGTCAACCGCAACTTCCATTCCAACCACTTCTCATCTTCTAATGTTTGGCGGTCCAGCGGGTCCTCCATAGCTGCTAGTTGTCTGCCTAGCACTTCCTGCTGCTCCTGAGGCACGTATAACATCGCCTCCTCATCCTCTCCCAGCGATAAGTTAGCCACCCACTCACTAATCTTCTTCTCCATCCATTTGTCCTCCTCCTTCGTGCCACTGCTCTCTCCTCTGTCTCCCCCACGCCTCCTTTCAAGAGTTTCTTCTTCTATGTCTTCCTCCTTTGCTGCTGCTTCTTCTTCAATAGCCCTCCTTTTCTCTTCCTCGTGCTGCAGTCTTAGTATCTCCTCCAACTTTTCTTCTTCGCCGTCTGCGCCTCAGCGATCGCCTTCAACTTCGCTTGTTTGAGGAGCTCCATCTCCTTCCTCTCTCTCAGAATGGCGGCAATTCGTGCCTGCTCAGCTTCGGACTGCGGGGCAGTACTCTTTCCACTACGTGTGTCAACCATGGTGTCAGGTGCACAACCGGGCAACGGTTCCACTCCTCACCACTTAGACTCTACCCCCTGACTGACACGACCTACTGACTCAATCTACGGACCACAGAATCCGAACAGGATCCTATCAACTAGGGTCACTAGCCTAGACCTAAACTATGGCTGTCACTACAGGACCTATTGCTGATCAGGAGGCATTTAAGGAGATCCCTCGTAACTCCTCAGTAATTCTTTAACGTCGTAGACAGGACGACGCGATCAGCAGGTCCTCTCAAAACTAAGACGGCGTGTTGTGCAGCCCACAGCTTGGATTTTGGGCCTACCGTGCCACACCGAGCAGCCCGCCGGTTAGTACCGGTCCTTGGGAGGGTTCGTGTCCTCCGGGACAGTCGAGTCGTCAGACACAGTCTTTAGCCCTAATCAGCTCGTGTGGGTTTGGTCAACAACGCCCAATCCTTCATCCACAGAGTCCTATCACCTGGACAGAAGAGACTCGATGCAGAAAGAAGAGTACGACAGACTTGACTCAACAAGTACCACAGGGTGTGTGCACATCCATAGGACGAGGGGGTAGGTTGGGCTTGGCGAGATTATACCGGCTCCAGCTTGTGTGAGGCACAAGGCCTCGATAAGCCCTACTGGGCCCTATTTTCAACAGCGTCGGCCGCCCTAAGTGAAGGCATGCTCGACAAACCTCAAGAGGCCTATTTTGGACTACTACGCAACTGGGGAAATTCAGGTAGTTGTGCAGCGCCAGTCAGTAGCGAATGCAGATCCCAGGGCTCGATCCCTAGTTCCCCGTCTTACCTGTGTATAGTATCAGTGTCAACCCGTAGGCTTGAACCCGCGACCTGTAGGACCGCCAATGGTAGGCAGGTTTTCGTAGGTCACAGCTTAGAAGGGAATCAAACTGTAGACTTGTAGGGTAAGAGTCTAGACAGTTCCGAAGTCGTAGTTGTAGGATGTCTGAAGGGTCAAGGTCGTAGCTGCTACTTGCCTGAAAGGGCAAAGTCGTAGCTTCTACAGTACCGAAAGGCCAAGTAGAGGTTTCTAGAACTGGCCTTTCGGAGTTGGCCCCTGTTTAGGCCGAGGCAAGTGGGCAAGTGGTATAGGTCCACTACGCAGAGCCAGCAGTCCCAGGTAGCCCAGTCCGGTCCAGTCAAGCAAGTACCGTCTGGGACTGTGCACATCGTGGGCCAAGGGATACAGGGCAGACCAACGCCGCACAGAAGTATAAATCAAGAGGCTGCGTCCAGCCATTCATTCATTCCTGCGGATGCCATGCGGAAGCGCTGCCTCAGCAGCTTGTGCGAGGAGGTCTGCAGTGCGCCCGAAGTGGAAGTGGGCAGTGAAGTGTAGTATAGCGATAGGGTAGTGGCAGCTAGCGCTGCCATAGCTGTAGTACAGTGTGTGTGTGTGTTGCGTATGAGCACTGAGTGTTGCGTGTGGGACATCCAGGGTGATCCAGAGTGCGAACAGTGAGTTGTGTGGGTGCAGGGCCGTCATAGCCAGTTGAAGAGAAACCTTATCCGGTTACAATATCTTTGAGTACTATGTGGGCGCATGTCGCCAGTTTGCTGTATCGCTGTTCGCATGCAAGACAAGTGTGAATAATCCGAGTCTGATTACACCTGCTGTTCCTTGAGAAGGAAGGGAATAAACGTCTGTGTATGCCAAATAGAGAGTCTTTGCGTAGTTTATTTCTAGGCGAGTGTCACCATGCCACCGAACATTTTGGCTTCTAGAAGACTGCAGCCAATCTGCTGCAGCGGTTTTGGTGGCCCACGACGATGAGACATGCCAAGCTGTACGTGGAGACTTGTCAGGTCTGTCAGAGAGACAAGCCCCTTACACAACCCCCTCTTGGGCTCCTCAAGCCCCTTCCGATTCCGGAAAGGCCCGCTGAGAGCCTGTCTATGGACTTCATGGACACACTTGTCACCAGCAAGAGTGGAATGAGACACATCTTTGTTATCGTGGATAGGTTTAGTAAGTACGCTAGGCTAGTTGCAATGCCGGAGACAGTGAAGACCGAGTATGTGATTAGACTCTTCAAAGAGAATTGGGTCAAAGACTTTGGGCTCCCAAAGTCTATTGTTAGTGACAGGGGTGTCCGATTCACAAGTGAGTTCTGGAAGGCTGCAGCTGCAGAACAGGGAACACAATTGCAGATGACTTCTGGGAACCATCCCGGGGCCAATGGCCAAGCAGAGCAACTAAATTGCGTTGTTCAACACTTGTTGCGGCATTACATCAAGCCCAATCAGGTGGACTCGGATGAGAAACTTGCTCTCATCGCCAGCCTGTATAACAATGCTGTGCACAACGCAACTGGAGTAAGTCCTAATAGTTTGCTACCGACTTTCAAGCCCAGACTGCCCCTAGACTTTCTGCTACCTGACAACCAGTCAACTGCTGCACCCGACACCCTTGAATTTGCCTATCGCTATGAACAACTGATGCAGCAGGCAGTAGAACAAATGCACAAGGCACAGGAGGCAATGATTGAAACTGAGAACAAGCACCACTGTCCTTCTACATTTCAGGTAGGGGACAGAGTCTGGGTAAAATCCTCAGAACTGGGACAGGAGCACGGGTTCTCCCGTAAGCTCATGCCACAATACTTTTGGACCATGGGAGGTTCTAGATGTTGTTGGGGAAGATCTGGATGGGCCATCCTATGTCATTCGGATCCCTGGTCATCTTCGCACTTACCATGTCTTTCACGCCTCCAAGCTTGCACCATTCAAAGAAACTGACCAGTTTCCCTCTCGTCGTTCTATGCTGCCCGAACCATGGAAGGAGAGGTCGACATCGACGACATTGTTGGCCACAGGGAGATGCTAGTTCCAAGACCAACAGGCAGAGGATGTCCTCCGAAACCGAAGCTGCAGTATCGAGTTCGGTGCAGACATCACACTGATCCAAAGGAGGACAAATGGTTCACAAGGGAGGAAATGATGCAGACCACTCCAGAGGTAGTCGTTCACTACGAGAAGTCTCTATGGAAAGGAAAACGCCAGATTATCGAAGACTGAACTTCTCAGAGGACTAGCGAAGTATGGAGGAGGGAATGCGAGGCACAAGGCCTCGATAAGCCCTACTGGGCACTATTTGCAACAGCGTCGGCCGCCCTAAGTGAAGGCAGGCTCGACTGACCTCAAGAGGCCTATTTTGGACTACTACGCAACTGGGAAAATTCAGGTAGTTGCGCAGCGCCAGTCGGTTGGAAGCACCCAGGCCCAGGCTGCCTTTCATTACATGTAACTGAGGCAAGGCCTAGGCCGGATACACAAAGTGGACGAACAAAGGCTGAGGGTAGTTGGGTGCTGGTAACCGCCTCAGGCCCTGGGCCTGTTCCCTTCGGAATGAGGCTCAGCCTCCCTGGGCCTACTGGAAGCTTCTGGGACGGGGCCCAGTACCGCAGCACAACACGCAGCAGCAGGCCACTTCGATATAGGGAAGGGCCTGCCCACGCTTTCGGCATTCGGGCACTGGCTGCTTTGTGCGCAAGCGCTGCTGCGCTATTTCATGCCAGGCTCACGGGCGAGCTGGAAGGAGCACGCAGCCATAGCCGAGCTGCGCTGCATTATGCTGGATGGGGCGCATGGTGGTTCTTGGGTGCAAGTGGCATCTGTGAGTTGGGGAACGTGTTTGTGAGTGATACGAGAGACATACCTGGTGCTTGAGGCAACAACATTGTCTGACTGCTCGTACTTCGGTGAAGTTGTTGACGTCATCCGACAGCATTGTAGAGTAGGCTAGATAAGATCTACCATCTGTAGTCTGGGCGCCGAGCACTAGATAGGATATCAACATTGTCCCTTTGTTGATGATGATGAGACTATTCCAGCATTGTCAATTATGAGCTCTTGGTGTGTTCTTATTTGGTGAAACTTGTGTTGCAATTCTACTTTTGGTTCGAGGTCACGACTATCTGGTCTCATGTATGATGATGTTTGATTGCTGAAGTTCGCCATCGCCCATCTTCCTTGCAATTTGGTATCAGAGCTGTGGTTCGATGCTGCAAATCTGGCACTTATCTTCTGCCTAATGCGGTAGATGCACGCGGTGTGTGCGGTGAGGGACCGTGCCGTGGGACGTGTGTAGTGAGGAGGGCGAAGATAAGTGGCGACCCAAGAGGTGAGGGGTATCACTAGGAAGGCTATGCGATGTAATGTGGGTTCTGGACGATGTGATGCGAACTATCTGATGTGCGATTGGTGCCAAGGTGGAACGACATGTAATGCTGGTTGTGTTGAAGCAATGACTGGTCATCACAATCGGTGTCCAGTCATCTGGTGAGATTATCTCTGTGGTTGGGGGCAGCTATTTGGGGTACGTTGCTCTTAACCTTATCTACGCTCTTCGACACTTCTTACCGTGAGGATGTGTGTTCCGTCTTGAGAGTCCTCTCATTGTGAGGAGTTGTGCGCTCAACCTTGGGAGTCGACAATGTTCGTGTGGAGCATCTGGGGGAAGATGGGCGGAGCTTTCTGAAGGGCCCTAGACGAAGCACTGGGTCACGGTCACCATGCCAACCCATCGGGAGTAGAGCACGCATGCTTTGGTGCTTGTCCTTTGTTCGGCTCGCTGCGCTGTTAGATGGGTTATGAGGGGCTGGCCAGCCCTATGTGGGAGACGAGAACCGGGCGTCAATAAATAAACACTGGCAGGGGAAACCATTGGCTGTGATCGTCGTCCTGTTTGCAACGTTAAATAATTCTTGAGGACACTTGGGGCCGGTCCTTAAATAGCCTCTTGATCAGCCAATCGGTGTAAGGCTCGCTGCACGTGAGGATAAACAATGTGCTAGAGCTGGCCAGCTCAGCAGGACTCGGGGCACAAGGGTGGGCCAATTGCACACCTTTAGACAGGCACTGCTCTCTGGATGGCTCTGGGACGCTGACGCCAAGCGACATTCAAGAGGTACGAAGGGAGGTTTAGAATTCGGGTGATAAGTTCGGGGGGAAAATTCCATACTGTCCCAATCCACACAAATGATTCTATTTTTATGTTTTGATTAGTTAGATGTACAACCATTAACATCTAACAGACAACATATTAGAACTGTTTTCTGTTCATTGTGCATTCTGTTCGAGAACTAGTCAAACTAAAAATAGTTTTGTTTGTTGGAATTGAACTTACCTGTTGGACCACAATGTATAGTCTCTGACATAGCCGCCGATTATTTATTTTATTTTATTATAAATCGATCTGAACAGGTCACTGCGGTAGGCATCGATTGAGTGTCCTAGTGCAGGTACTGTACAATGTTATAGCCTATGAGTGACAGGGAGGTTCCACAACCGGACGACCGGCTCTTTCGATCGGCTAGACGCTCGATTGCCCATTTGGCATTAGGACCAGAGGGCGACAAATACTCGTTCCCCCATCAAAGAGAGAGGCAGCGTCGGCAGAGAAGAGCTAGGGCCGTAGAGGCAAGCAGGGCATTCGTAAGCGAGGCCGCTACTTCAGCAGTCATGGCCACTGCTGCGCAACAGACTTCTCAGGCTGGTAGTTCAGAATCTGTAGGGTCAACGGTCGCGCAGACCTTGAGTCAGTCCACTGGCGTAATGGCAAGCCAACCCTTAGTGATGACTCCCGAGGAGGTCGCCATAGAGTGAGCTGCTGATCAGGAGGCACAACTACAGTAGGCTTTGGGAGAGATTAAGGCAGAAAAAGAAAGAATGATTAGAAGAAGAGCCAGGATGCAGCGGAGGCAAGCGGGCGTCAGTGAGTTAGAGGAGATGGAGCCTGCAGAGATGGAGGATGATGTGAGGACCATACGGTCGGTCTTGCTAAGTGTAGTAGAGATGCAAGATCACCAGATGCAGATCTTACACGACATCCAGCATAGTCTGGCTATGTTATTCGGGCGAGTGCAGGCGGCACCATCACCGTCCGGGCCCGGTGCCTGGCCCGTTGTACATCGTCCTCCTTTTGTCCCACCGGTGATTGGGGTATCCCCATACAGCTCCAGCATCGGTCTAGACCGTTTCCCTGGGTATTTCGTTAGCAGGAGGGTTCTCAGCAGGCCCTAGTTTGCAGGTACCTGTACAGACAGTGTTTTTTCAACCTCCGTCTCAGGTTGCCGTAAGCGGGCAGCCTGCTGTCTCGTAGGCTGCTGTCTCGCAGCCTGCACAACCGCAGGGTACATAGCCCCAACAGTCAGTGCAGCATCCTGCTCCACAAGGTCCACAACCCGGAGTGATGAAGAGACCGGGACAAAGTCAGTGGGTACCAAAGACGGCCATCGCCGCTCCGAAACCCTTTACAGGGGATAAGAGAGGCGAAGACCTCGACATGTGGTTGAGGGCAGTGCCAGTCTATGTTAAGTGTAAACTTACCTTGCCACACGAGGAAGTGATTGTGGCTGCATCCCTACCTAGAGGGTAGTGCAACAAGATGGTTGAGTGGTTTAGTGCAGTTGTAGGGGTATGGTCATGATTTCTGCGCTTGGGCAGCCATCCAGAAACTGAAGGACTTCCTCAAGATGGTGGAAGATAGGTGGCATGGTCCTCAGGAGGCCCAAAAGGCCACTGGCGCGATCCTGACGCTGCATACAAGGCAGTTTAAGTCAGTAAGGGAAGCCATTGATGCAATAGAGCGTCTGATCTGTGTCCCTGGGGTGCGCTATGACCCCCAGGTATTACTCACCTCCTACCTGAGATGCTTTCCAATGCCTCTCAGGAATCAGTTGGCCGGTGAGGCCAACATCAATATGCACAACTTTCCCTCGTTCAGCAAGAAGGCCCTAGACCTTGAGGCAAAGATAGGGCATGGACGAACACCCACGACGGAAGGCGAAGGGTCGCATACCTGTGCCAACAAACAGCGCATGGTAGTCAACGACTTCTTCCAGGATGTTGAGTGTTGTTTCCCGTACACGGGAGGGGAACTGAGACATCGTGTCTCGTTCCTAGTGAGCGATGATCTCTCCATGGATATCTTGCTAGGTATGTACTACCTCTCTGTGGCACAACCGCAATTTGACTGGGACCGAAAAGTGGTCAAGCACACTTTGCCAGGTGGAGGGACCACCAAATTACGTAAGTTTAAGGCTAGTAGTTTGATCAAGTCCTACGGGTGCATGTGTGCGGCCGCGTTCTATAATTACTATAAGCAAAATCAGGAGGAGGGTATGTATGTCGTTTATGTCTCTGTTGCAGGTGAGCCGGTGAAAATGTCGTCGGAGATAGAGGCATGCATCGCTACATACCCTGATCTATTTGAAGAGTCGACAGGGGTTGTTGAGAGGGAGGTCGTCCACGCGATAGAGATTATCCCAGGGTCTAGCATCCCGAAGGGTAGGATCTATTGGAATCTCCAGGCGAGTTTGACGAGCTTCGCCAGCAACTCAAGGAACTCATAGAGAAGGGGTGGATCCGGCCGAGTGTCTCTCCTTATGGTTCTCCAGTCTTATTCGTACCAAAGAAGGGGGGCAGTTTGAGGATGTGCATTGACTATAGGGGCCTCAATGCCATCACTGTCAAGAACAGAGAGCCCCTACCGCGCATCGACGATCTGCTAGATAGAGTGCAAGGGTGTTGGTACTTCTGTAAGATAGATCTCAAGTCCGGGTACCATCAGATGGCAATCCGGCCCGAGGATCAACACAAAACTGCTTTTCAGACCAGGTACGGTCTGTACGTTTTTGTGGTGATGCCTTTCGGCCTTTGGAATGCTTTGGGCACCTTTCAACACGCTATGAATCGGATCTTTCATGACTACTTGGACAAGTTTGTCATCGTGTACCTCGATGATATGCTTATCTTTAGTAGGACTGTCGAGGAGCATGTGGCTCTTTTGGACAAAGTCCTTGAGTCTCCTGAGACAGCACAAGTTCAAGATTAACGGTGAGAAGTGCGAGTTTGGCCGCACCCGTATCTTGTACTTGGGTCATTAGATTTCCACGGAGGGATTGAAGCCCCATGACGTGAAGGTGGCCAACATTCGTGAGTGGCCACGTCCTCAGTGTGTAATTGAGATGAGGTCTTTCTTAGGGATGACCGGCTACTATCGCAATTTCGTGAAGAACTATAGCATAGTTGCCGCCCTTTTGACTGACCTGACTCGCCTTGCCACACCATGGGAGTGGACAGACAGGTGTGAGGCTGCTTTCAGACAATTGAAGCATGCGTTGACAGACCATCAGGTCTTGAAACTTCCTGATCCTGACAAACCTTTCGTAGTAACTATGGATGCTAGCCAATATGGCATAGGCGCCGTACTTGCACAGGAGGAGGGGAAAGAGTTGAGGCCGGCAGAGTACATGTCCAAAAAGATGCCCTCTTAGAAGGTGGCTAAGTCCACCTATGAGAAGGAGCTCTATGCGATCTACAAGGCGCTCACCCATTAGAGGCACTATCTCCTTGGGAGGTTCTTCTACGTCAGGAGTGATCACCAAACCTTGAAGGGGATGAGAACCCAACCTGTGCTATCCGACGCTCTACAGCGTTGGATTGAAGTCATAGAGCAGTATGACTTTGAGCCCCAATACATCAAGGGCGAGTACAACAAGGTTGCTGATGCACTATCGTGTAGGCTTGACTTTTCCGGTGCGCTGATCACTGAGTTTGGGCTTGCGGACGATGTTACTCACTCTATGGTGGAAGCCTATCGTGAGGATCAGTTTATGTCTGAGATCATTCGCAGACTCGAGGCGAAGGATAAAATCTCTTCTGCCGAGTTTGAGTTGGTCAACGGCCTGCTGTTCCTTGAGAACGAAGGGAATAAATGTCTGTGTGTGCCAAATAGAGAGTCTTTGCGTAGTTTATTTCTAGGCGAGTGTCACAATGCCACCAGCCATTTTGGCTTCTAGAAGACTGCAGCGAATCTGCTGCAGCGGTTCTGGTGGCCCACGATGATGAGACATGCCAAGCTGCACGTGGAGACTTGTCAGGTCTGTCAGAGAGACAAGCCCCGTACACAGCCCCGTCTTGGGCTCCTCAAGCCCCTTCCGATTTTGGAAAGGCCCGCTGAGAGCCTGTCTATAGACTTCATGGACACACTTGTCACCAGCACGAGTGGAATGAGACACATCTTTGTTATCGTGGATAGGTTTAGTAAGTACGCTAGGTTAGTTGCAATGCTGGAGACAGCGAAGACCGAGTATGTGATTAGACTCTTCAAAGAGAACTGGGTCAGAGACTTTGCGCTCCCAAAGTCTATTGTTAGTGACAGGGATGTCCGATTCACAAGTGAGTTGTGGAAGGCTGCAGCTGCAGAACAGGGAACACAGCTGCAGATGACTTCTGGGAACCATCCCGAGGCCAATGGCCAAGCAGAGCAACTCAATCGTGCTGTTCAACACTTGTTGCGGCATTACATCAAGCCCAATCAGGTGGACTGGGATGAGAAACTTGCTCTCATCGCCAGCCTGTATAACAATGCTGTGCACAGCGCAACTGGAGTAAGTCCTAATAGTTTGCTACTGACTTTCAAGCCCAGACTGTCCCTAGACTTTCTGCTACCTGACAATCAGTCAACTGCTGCACCCGGCACCCTTGAGTTTGCGTATCGCTATGAACAACTGATGCAGCAGGCAGTAGAACAAATGCACAAGGCACATGATAGAAACTGAGAACAAGCATTGCTGTCCTTCTACATTTCAGGTAGGGGACAGAGTCTGGGTAAAATCCTCAGAACTGGGACAAGAGCACAGGATCTCCTGTAAGCTCATGCCACAGTACTTTGGACCATGGGAGGTTCTAGATGTTGTTGGGGAAGATCCAGATGGGCCATCCTATGTCATTCGGATCCCTGGTCATCTCCGCACTTACCCTGTCTTTCACGCCTCCAAGCTTGCACCATTCAAAGAAACTGACCAGTTTCCCTCTCGTCGTTCTTGCTGCCCCCAACCATGGATGGAGAGGTCGACATCGACGACATTGTTGACCACAGGGAGATGCCAGTTCCAAGACCAACAGGCAGAGGAGGTCGTCCGAAACCGAAGCTGCAGTATCGAGTTCGGTGCAGACATCACACTGATCCAAAGGAGGACAAATGGTTCACAAGGGAGGAAATGATGCAGACCGCTCCACAGGTAGTCGCTCACTACGAGAAGTCTCTACGGAAAGGAAAGCGCCAGATTATCGAAGACTGAACTTCTCAGAGGACTAGCGAAGTATGGAGGAGGGAATGCGAGGCGCAAGGCCTCAATAAGCCCTACTGGGCCCTATTTGCAACAGCGTCGGCCGCCCTAAGTGCAGGCAGGCTCGACAGACCTCAAGAGGCCTATTTTTGACTACTACGCAACTGGGGAAATTCAGGTAGTTGCGCAGCGCCAGTCGGTTGGAAGCACCCAGGCCCAGGCTGCCTTTCATTACATGTAACTGAGGCAAGGCCTGGGCCGGATACACAAAGTGGACGAACAAAGGCCGAGGGTAGTTGGGTGCTGGTAACCGCCTCAGGCCCTGGGCCTGTTCCCTTCGGACTGAGGCTCAGCCTCCCTGGGCCTACCGGAAGCTTCTGGGCCGGGGCCCAGTACCGCAGCACAGCACGCAGCAGCAGGCCACTTCGATGTAGGGAAGGGCCTGCCCACGCTTTCGGCATTCGGGCACTGGCTGCTTTGTGCGCAAGCGATGGTGAGCTATTGCATGCCAGGCTCACGCGCTCACGGGCAAGCTGGAAGGAGCCCACAGCCATAGCCGAGCTGCGCTGCTGTATGCTGGATGGGGCGCATGGTGGTCCTTGGGTGCAAGTGTCATCTGTGAGTTGGGGAACGAGGTTGTGAAGGATACGAGAGACATGCCTAGTGCTTGAGGCGACGACATTGTCCGAGATCTGCTCGTACTTTGGTGAAGCTGTTGACGTCATCCGGCAGCATTGTAGAGTAGGCTAGATAGGATCTACCATCTGTAGTCTGAGCACCGAGCGCCAGATAGGATATCAACATTGGTTCTTCGTTGATGATGATGAGACTATTTGAGCATTGTCAATTATGAGCTCTTGGTGTGTTCTTATTTGGTGAAACTTGTGTTGCAATTCTACTTTTGGTTTGAGGTCACGACTATCTGGTCTCATGTGTATGATGCTGTTTGATTGCTGAAGTTCGCTATCGCTCATCTTCCTTGCACTTGGTCAAATTGGTGGTCAACAGTCTTGGTCAACGCCTTGGTCAACGCTTGGTCAATGCTGTAGTCAACCCCCGGTCAACTCCCGGTCAACTCCCGGTCAACTCCCGGTCAACTCTCAGTCAACTCTCAGTCAACTCTCAGTGAACTCTCAGTCAACTCTCCCGGTCAACTCTTCGGCCGGCCATGGCTGCCGCCTTCTTCTTCCTCACCAACCTTCTCCCTCCTCGCCTCTCTGTTCTTCCATCCCGGTCATCTTCTTCTTCCTCTTCTTTTTTTTCCCTTTTTTCTTTTTTTTTGTTCTCGTCTCTCACTTCTTCTTCCTCCGCTTCACTTCTCTCCTCTGTCTCTCCTTCTGTCCTCTCCTTCACCTCCTTCGTTACTCTGTGGTGGAGCTCCGCGGCTATGGCCTTCTTCTTCTTCTTCGTTGGACTGCACGGCGGTCTTCACAGGTATGTGACAACCAAACTTGTCTCTCTCTCTCTCTCTCTCTCTCTCTCTCTCTCTCTCTCTC